AGACAGTTTCTACAAGTAAATGATAATGCCAGTACAACATACAGGAATCTATGGGACACAATGAAAGCAGTTCTAAGCAGGAAATTTACAGCAGTGATGACCATATTAGGAAAACAAAGAGAACTCAAATAAATAATCTAATGCAGAACCTCAAGCTCCTAGAAAAAGAAGAGCATGACAAACCCAAAGCTCATAAGAGAGAGGAAATTATAAAGATCAGAGCAGAAATCAATGCAATGGAGACTAAGAGAACGATGCAAAAAAATCAATAAGTCAAAGAATTGGTTTTTTGAAAGAATAAAATTGATAAACCTTTAGACAACCTTATCAAAAAAAGAAAAGAAAAGGCACAAATACATGCAATTAAGAATGAAAAAAGTGAAGTCACAACAGACCCACCAGAAATCCAGACTATCATCAATACCTACTTTGAGAACCTGTACTCTAGTAAAATGGGAAACATGGAAGAAATGGACAGATTCCTAGATACATATGAATTGCCAAAGTTAAATGAAGAAGATATAGAAATTCTAAAAACCCCAATTACAATGAGTGACATTGAAAATGTAATAAAAAATTTACCAACAAAGAAGTGCCCAGGTCTTGATGGTTTCACTGCTGCATCCTACAAAACATTTAAAGAAGAACTAATGCCCTTACTCTTTGAATTCATCAAGGAAGTTGAAAGGGAAGCAATACTTCCAAATTTATTCCTGAAAGCAAGTGTTACTTTGATTCCAAAACCAAGGAAAGACCCAACCCCAAAAGAGAACTACAGGCCAATCTCCCTAATGAACACAGATGCAAAAATCTGCAACAAGATACTGGCAAACAGAATACAGAGGGTCATCAAGAAGATCATACACCCTGACCAGGTCAGACTTATTCTAAGGATGCAAGGATGGTTCAACATTCGTAAATCAATAAATGTAATACACTATATTAACAGAGTCAAGGACAAAAACTATATGATCATCTCAATAAGATGCAGAAAAGGCATTTGACAAAATCCAACACCCATTTATGATAAATACCCTACAGAAATTTGTAATAGAAGGTCTTTATCTCAACATGTTTAAGGCTATCTATGAAAAACCAACAGCTGGGCCGGGGATTTGGCTCAGTGGTTTCATTGCCTACTGCACAAGCACAAGGACCTGAGTTCGATCCCTGGTACCAAAACAAACAAAAAAAGAAAAGAAAAACCAACACCCAACATCATACTAAATGGTCAAAAACTGAAAA